TGGAGGCAATGGCGCCAGGCCCGGGATTGGATCCCATGGTTTGCCCTCCGCTTGGTGGATTGGTCGCCGATGTCTGTTCGGCCTGCAATCGCCGTTGAGCCTGAGCTTGAGCCTGTGCTTGTTGAGCCTGCGCCTGCGCATGGGCTTGAGCTGCCGCCGCTGCTTGGTCTCGGGCTTTGGCTGCCATGATGGCCCGATGCTGCATGATCTGGATATCGTACTGGTCTCCTTCAAATTCGAGATCCTCGTCCGAGTCCTCCTGATCATACTTGAACCGATCGGCCTTCCACGGGTCCATTTCGACTCTACAACGGGACACCAGATTTCGACGATCGATCCACAAACGACCGCCGCGCCCGATACGTCGTCTGAACGAGGGCATCTTGCTGGTGTCCACACTCAATTCCATGGCATGTGGAGCTAGTTTATCTCGGAGAGCAATGGCACTCGTGGTATCTAAGGGCGAATCCAGCATATTGTCGGATGATTCCGATGATGGCGGCGTGGGCAGTTGAGTGGTGATTGCAGGGCGGAAAGAAGCAGCATCGAAAGTTCGCTCTGGCGACGGGGAGAGTGGTGCTCTTGTGAAATCCACATAGCCCTCGTTCCACTTGACGTGCTTGGCGATATTCTGCTTGATGTCGCGCTGAATCTCGTTCTCCTTCTCTGCCTGAACATCCTCCAACAGCTGTAGGTCTTCTGCAGCTTGTGTACCAGCCTTGGGGGGCATGCGCAGTTGAGGCGCAGCCGGGCGTTGCACAGCTGGTGCTTCTACAGGCTTCTTCTTCGGCTTTTGCAGAGTCATCAGCATGTGCAGCAGACGGTCGTGGGACTGCATAGGGCTCACCTTCTGGTTGATGAGGTCCTCATCATCGTCCTTGATGTTGAGCTTCCTCTTCATCTCCTTGACCTCCGATCTCTGCAAGAACACTTGGCGTTCGATGGCCAGCATCTCCTTCCTCGCTAGCTCGCGTTGGCGCACCAAAGCGACCATCTGTCGAGCATCTTCCAGCTCCTTCCTGAGTCTCCTCAGCTTGTCGGCACTCTGCGCATCCCTACCACGGGTCTTGCGCGTCTGCCGCACTTCACGCCTACGGAAGCAGACATACGGGTCCGTATCATCGGTGTCTCGACCAGCCTCAACCTGCGGTAATCGGTTAGCACTCTGGTGTTGCCAAACCTCATAACTGCCGTTAGCGAGGGGACTCACCTTCGGTGTAGGTAGTAGGGGCTCGTTGCCGTTGCTGGTCCTCCTGGACTTCCAGTATTCATAGATGTCCTTGGCGAACCGCTTTACACTCTCCTCTACAGCTGGGTCCATCGCTTGTTGGAATTCTTCGAAGCTCATGAGGGGCGAGTTATCTACAAAGGCATATGGCTGCTCCTTTCGCGACGTGAGCTCGAAGAAGCTCATAACCTCTTCGAACTGGTCTTCGGTGCACCGACTACCCGCATCGCGTTTTTGGTTGAAGATCTTGAGGAAGACATCATCTTCCTCGTCCATGCAGTACGGGGCTCCGCAACAGTCCTCTACCGTAGCAGAGAAGCGAATGTAGGTCGCAGGTTGCGAGAAGATAGGCGGGTAGAGCTCATCATAGCGCAGGTTACTGAGGACCGTCTCCGGCGTCGGAATATGGGCATCTTTTACTTTTCCCTGCGCAGCGGCATTTATGGCGACCTGGAGATGGAATTCCTATACAAGAACAGGCGTTAGCAGGCGCTGTTGCGGTGTTTCTGCCGAGGTGCGAAATTTTCACGATGGGGTGAGGTCGGGATGATGTCACGTGATATGCACAGGGATGCTCGCAACGGTCGGGGATGAGGCATCACTTACCGATTCCTCAGCCTTTTCCACGCCGGTCTCGATCTGTTGTAGGGCATTTTGGATTTCATCGTCGATGAGATCTATGTCGTGCTCCCGGACTATGGGGATGGAGGCCTTGGAGGTGAGCTTTTTCGGGCGCGTCCTCCCCATTCCCCCGTACCTAGTCATACGAACTTTGGGGCGCGGAAAAGGGCAACGACCATGGGCGAGGGGGGCTAAAATTGGTATCAGGCGATAGGGCCGATCATGCGAAAGCGCGTAGACGTAGTTTCGTGATGAATGTCGATGGTGATGGGATGATATCGACGCGGGAAATCTCGTAGTATTGGCACTGGCGGATGAGTTGACGTTGCAATGTCACCCGGCGGTGGCCTGTTTTGGCCCGGCGCACGGCCTCAGGGGTTCGCTTGCCTGTCCGTTTCCGGTTAGTGCGGGGCTGCCCGATATCAAATTGCCGGCTGGGGGAACCTCGTTGCTTGCAGTGATTGATATCAATCTATCTATCTATTGTTGTTCCCTCGTGATCATTCATTCCCCCCCCCAGAGTTTCACTGTATATTGAATTGGTGTGGGAACTGCTTCCCTTTCCTCTCTCTTTCTAAACTATTGTTTTCTCCACCTAGTCTCTGGTTCTTGCCGTTGCCGCTTCTGCTTCTCTCCTTCCCTGTGATCGCCACATTCCGCTCCCCATCATGGATCATTCCAGCGAACCCAACAACGCGGCCCTTTACGATGCCCGGAGACGCAGGGGCTCCGTCGGAACTTCTCAGCTCTTCGAAAACATTGTGTCCGCCTCCAACTGTGGGTAGCGGTCGCGTCTGTAAAATAATTATCAATCGGGGTGTCCGGCCTTGCTGACTACATCATCGGAATCTGGCAGTCGATCGCGATGAAGTGGACCGTCTCCGCAAGCGCTTCATGAAGCTTGATAAGGTACTGCCCCCTTCTCCACGTTATACCTTATTTTACCCTACCTGTTCTATAGCTAATCATAATGCCGATGTATACAGGACAGCTCCGGCACCATCGACCGCGATGAATTCCTCTCCCTTCCTCAAGTCTCCTCCAACCCGCTCGCCACGAGGTACTCCCTCCCCTCCCTTCCCACCCTATACCACATTTCCAACAACACCACGCCGAGTATGGAATATGAGAAACATGATAATAACAAAGTGATTCAATAGAATGATCGCCATCTTCGACGAAGACGGTGGCGGCGACGTCGACTTCCAAGAATTCGTCTCCGGGTTATCAGCCTTCAGCTCCAAGGGCAACAAAGAAGAGAAGCTGCGCTTCGCATTCAAAGTATACGATATCGATCGCGACGGGTACATTTCCAATGGCGAATTGTTCATCGTGCTGAAGATGATGGTCGGAAATAATCTTAAGGATGTGCAGCTGCAGCAGATTGTTGATAAGACCATCATGGAGGCTGATAAGGATGGTGATGGCAAGATTAGCTTCGAGGAGTTTACGGATATGGTTGAGAATACGGATGTTAGTTTGAGTATGACGTTGAGTATGTTCCCTGATACCGTTTATACTCTTTTTGCGGGGTTGAGGTTTGCTGACTGTTTTGTAGACCAGATCTGAGGGGGGTTTCGAGTTGTGGATGAGGGTATCTACTTGCTGGGTATGGTAGATAGGTTGGTTGGGTGGATTGGGGTATGAGGAGGGTTATAATTTCTTACTTATTATCTTATGATTATGATGACAGCCATGACGAAACTGTAGTTTACTTTCCCTTTTCTTTTGCTTCAGGGTCGGATTCGCTACTAGTCTATATTGTTTTAGGTACATAGTGTACGGATTACTATACGTGCTGTGCAGTAGTTGTAGTTGAGAGTTGCGAAGCATATGAGGATCATGAAACATTCATGATCATTAGCAGCAGTAGTAAACATTCGCAGATACGAGGATATCCACTACTGAGATATAGGTTATATCGAGTCCTATATATGTTAAGATAAAGTTCAGCTTCGCAAACCTACAGCCTTGCGGCTCACAACGTTATATTATGATGATTGTTTACGTGATGATATCAAGTAAATAAAGTACTATTTAGATAACATGTAAACTAGTACATCAACTTAAATTATGGCTTCTCAAGACCAGCAATACTTCATGTTCATGTTACCTGGGGGAACTAAGTACGTAGTATCTACTTGGATAATAACTCGCTGTTAGTATATTATTTAGATGTTTGGCTGGTTAATCTGATTGGTTCGTATATTTAGCACATCACTACGTACTAGTACTCCGCTTCGCTAATCTACCTTTTATATCATTGATAGTTCCTTCGCATCATCAGAGATTTATCTAGTTTGCCAGGCATAAATAGATAGCATGACGTAGTAATATGTCTCGCAATCAAGATCAAAAGCAGATCATGCGCATCCACCTTTCTAGAAGATGGATAACATGTTCATGAACTTGAAAATGCCTACCGTAAATGGTCACAAGTATTGCCAAGACACCCATATAACGCGTAGCGAACCTCACAACTCCACCGCAATAACCATGCCGAGCATCTTAGTCGCATCCGGTTGATTCTCCAAATTGCGACTATATCATAGAGAAACCTCTTTGTTATAGATACTTTTTAGTGTTATCTTACTCTGATCGTTCGATAATTGATGGATGCGTGCTTGCTTTATCCTGAGCACTTTTCCCAACCCAACCAACTAGTCGAGGCGAGTATATGGAGAAGCTCTTAGAGTTAGCCCCTAATGAGCAATAGACACCTTAGCTGGACTGTAATACTAAGACAGCTCACTATCCCTCCTCAATCATTGAGGAAAGGGTGCTCCATCAACTCCCGAGCCGTCTTTCGTTCCTCAGGCAACCAAGTGAGCATCTGTCTGATAAAAGATAGGAAAGCTTTCTGTCGCTCGCTTCTAGGGATGGGACTGAATCTTCAAGTTTTTGCGCGGGTATCAAATCGTTGTAGAGGAATTTGCCTACCGTGATATGGATTAGGGTCAGAGATACGCATATATGCTGTGAAAAAAAAAAAAAATAAATAAAAATAAAGGAAAGGGTATCAATACCTTCTTCATCAAAGAAAGGCCCACCAAAGTATTCCCTGTTGTTCTTGAATATCTTACCCCTTTCATCAGTGATAGCTGGTGACCACTCAACCTGTGCCATGGACTCCGATATCACAAGCTATTTCTTAGGCGGGGGCCCAAGCAGGGCGATCATTTCCGCGAGGTGTGCTTCTGGGAGGTAAGTTCCCTCCGTATCCTGTACCTGGGTGAACGGCGCCATCATCTCCACCGGTGTCGAGTAAAGTAGCGGCGCCAAAGTCGGTTATTTGAGGGTATATATTCCCTAGTCCACTTGGATCAAGAGGTCCGAAGTTGTTGTGACAGCGGTAGATGACGCGACCGGTTTCCGGATCTGTCTTGCATTGCATCGACTGAGTATCTTCTTGTTCTTTGACGAATATCGGAAGGATGTTCTCATTTTCGAAGGTTATGAGGACATTGCCGAGTTTCAAGTCTGACAATGGTATATTAGGTTAATGGATTTTGGTACCAGGTGGATATTACATGCCAGTATGGACTACCTTGCACACAGAATGTAGGTAATCAAGACCAGCCAAAATAATAAGAATATACGCTTTGACCATCGGCAGGGTGAACCTGTCGCCTTCGAACCGTCTCTGGTATAGCTAGAGAGGCTCCCGTGCTGGCTCGTAGGCTAGACAGATATGTTTGCCGATGGGACCTGTAAACTCAAAGCTTTCAAGGTAACTGCGAATAACCGGACGACCGCGGTGTGAAGGAGTTTGCTCAGCGATGTGTTCTTCAATACGACGCTCATGGTCGGCACCCTTGGCATTGTTGTTGTTGAGGATTTTGAGGGCTACAATGCGTTCAGTCTGCCATCGATATCTAACCAATTGGTTCGAATTGAGGTTAGAAGTGCGCACTTTAGCCGCAGGTATGTATGAAAGTTAATACATGCCTTGCGACATCTCGGGCGAGCCACACTGTTGAACCGCTTCCCCATCCAATCTTGACCAGTAATCGATAGTGATCGGCGAGGACCTCCCCAGGTTTTGCAGGATAGTAGTGTCTGGGATTGTAGCCGGGGCTGAGCTCCTCGTCCACAAGTACGTGTTGAGGAATGGGAGCTGTAGTAGATGGGGGACGTGAGAGCTGGAGCGGTTTGGCGCGAAGGAAGGATATGCGCTTTGGTGCACGGATTTTGGATTGCATTTCGCTTAAGATAAGGTACTTTGTTTCTAGTCGAAGCTGTAGAGTGAGTACTAAGGCACTGGCCTGCAATTGATGATAATGTTAATGAGGACCATTTAGCGCGGTTGGCGCGGCCTGGCAAACCTGGCAGTACTAGACAGTGGTGATGGATGTGATTATACTGTTAGATACAACAAACGGGCTTGTACATGGTATTATTATAAGATAAAATGGTTTAAACTCGTGCAATTATAATGTATGTAGGTTACCAGATGTAACGGAGCGGGAGTGGTTAGATCAGCTATGTAGATCGGATCGCGTGCCAAAGAATGAGGATGACTCCTCCAGAGTGGTTGGATAGATACAACGCGATATACCTTTAGAAAGCTTAGAATTTTCTTGTAATCAGAATGCGCTCACGATGATCATAAGGTGGTCTACAGAGTTGCTAACCTCATCCATATCCTGCACGCTCGGACACCAAACCGAGGATCACTCCACCTTTGAACATATATTAACCACTTACTCACTGTTGGCATCTTACGAGTTATGTACTAACCCCTTACTTAAAGATTATGATAGAAGATGATAAACAGTATCTTAATAGCAATATCATTAAATAGCGGTTTAACACTTCACTTAGCACATACTCCCTCACAGAAGCAAATCCACTTCTCACCCGTAACCCTAATTCATCCCCTCATCGACCTCAAGGATCACGTCGCAACACCCCATGACAACCCCGCGTGAAACCCCCAGCGTTGAACTGCACCCTATTATTATCAAAGCATCTGGGTCCCGTCAGAATTGGCGTATTGAATTTAACCACCCACTCATTTCCATCAGAGTCCGGATGATCCAAATACTGAAAGTCCCATCCCGTAAGTCCATGTCCCACGCAGCTTATAATAGCCGGCTTCAGCGTATCCTGACCCGCATCCCAAGTTGCCCATCCTCTGCCTCTCATATCATACCTCTGGTACCAAAACTTATAACTGCTATCGCAAAAACCCCCAACTTCTCTCGTTGGCGGCCAAGGTCTCTTGAACGAGTTCGCAATGTTAACTTCATACGTATAGCTCCCGCGAGTCCAGCGACCCCCGAATTTCCAGTTCATCGGATTTTTCGGATCATTTCCATCGCAGGAGTTGATGATACGTTCGAAGGACTCCATGCAGTGGCCTTGGTCGAAGTGAGTGGCGCCGTCGCTGAGTTGAATGCTGAAGCTGTGCGTTTCTGGGGTTTGTTGGTGGAACCAGCGCTCGTCTTTCCAATTTGCCGTTTTCTTGGGGGGTTTTACTTCCTTGCAGTAGGTCTTGTAGTTCTTGTTTAGGAGGTCCGCGCTTGCGTAGTCCTTTCGGCCGTCGTTTTGCCAGCATCGGAACTCCTCGAAACCGCGAGAGCAGATGGGGTTCCTCTTGCCTAGGAAATCAGCCCGTGCGGCATATATGCCATCTAGCACGAAGGAGGCAATGGTCTTGTGGCCGAGCTCGTTTGGGTGGAAGTATTTGCCCCAGCGGTCGGGGAGCCCGAACCCTATACCATTGTCACCCGGGCAGCCTGGGGGTAAGGTTACGCCGGTGGGATTCAGCTTGTAAAGGGCAGCTGCAGCCGGGTTGGGAGAGCGGTAGAGGATAGAGTCGTAGAAAGATGAAAGGGTGTCATTAGTATCGGCGGAGGAGGAGAAGGAGGTGTCGGTGATGTTGTCGCGCTTCGCTTTCAGTTCCGTGTGGCGTTCATAGGTGGTGTCTGGCTTGAAGAAATGCAAGTTCGGCTGCATGGGATCGGGATATTTGCCTGTTGATTCGGGCACGCAGTACTGTCCTTTGAGGCCGTCTTTCATGAAGTCATTCCAATCTGCAGTACGGATATGCACTCTTGGGAAATACTTTCCCTTATCCATGACAAAATCCTCGATGGTTTTCTTAATGACCTTGTTTGTGTCAGTAACCAGTTGATTGAGTTTCTCGCGACGCTCGCGAGTCAAAGGCAAAGCATCGAATGGAGCCAGACCAGGGAAGGCCCAGTCCTGATTCTTCTCGCAGTCATCAGTTTCCGTGTTGAAGAACTGGCCGTAGAGAGCCCAGACAATGATGCCAAAAGCATTCACCTTGCTCACAGCGACTTCGAGGATCCTGCGAACGTTGTACCCCAGGATAAACTTGATGTTCTCTTGAGCCAACTCAATGACCTTCTGACACTTCTCTTCGCTATTGAAAGGGAGAAAGATGCAGGTGGTGATGATATCGGACTGGCCAGGTAGTCAGTTAGAGGCTCACTATAGTGAGATGAAGGAGAGGCTAGCATACCAAGCACAAGTCATTTCCTCCACCGGTCAGGACTATGAGGTCGTGGAATTTATCAAGGTCCTGGGCCTGGCTGTAGATGTCGCTAGTACGAGCGCCACTGCATGCCGTGTATGTGAAATTGGTCACTTGTGGACCCAACATATGCTTCAGAAGTGCTACATATGACTTGTCGTAGCGGGAGCATTTGGTGTCTTCTTTTTTATCGCTCCACAGATCACCGGCACCAATGCCTGCTGTGTAGCTGTCGCCAATGGCTGCCCATTTGCGAACGAAGGTGAGGTCTGTGATGGGTAGATCAGATGAGGGAGGATCATGTGGAGGAGTATTAATGTCAGGACTGCCAGTGACAAGAATCACCAGTAGAAATATGAGCCAAAACATCCTGGAACGGACAGCGCGAAGATGAGCCGGGGGATGGGATGGAAGAGGACAGGAGGATGGAGGAAAAGCTTTGGATGAGGAGATTTCCGAGTTTATATCGAGGGAGCATGAGCCGGGAACTAGACCTAACATCTCAAATCATTCAGGCATATTCACGAGCACACAAGCACGATTCACGAGCACGATTCACCTTGACAAATGTCCAGAACAATCCTCCATGACAAATATCCATAAAAATTTCTTCTCTGTTACCGTGAAGTTCTATGAGAAGTGAAAGACATGCAGAATATGAAGTTCCCGTGAACACACGTTGGCCCGAACTCAGGTCAATCACTGTCCCTTTCCTTTCCTTCATAAAAAGATGGACATCGAATCGATATCCCATCTTCAAAGAAACTCTGCTACCAACCTTGTCGAACCACCGTTGCCAACATGTCAGTGTTTTCGGCATTTCTGCTCTGCCTGTTCGGTTGGCAACTGACTTCTAGCGCTGTCTTCGCGCACAATCTCGCCTGGGGAGCTCTTCCGTCGAATCTTGACCCTGTCTATCCTTTCCAACTCCTTCCCACTTCCTCTACCAGTGATGATGGGTACAAGTGTGCCAAGGATAAAGGATGTAAAATAGGATGCTGTGGACCTATGTGAGTCACCTACCATATAAACTTTGTATTCGATCTAAACATTACTGACCACTGGAATAGTGACTCCACTGGTTCGGGTTTTTGTGGTTTTGGTCCTGAATTCTGCGGCAAAAATTGCACCTCGAACTGTGATCGCAAGAGCGAATGCGATCCTGGTTGGGGTAAAGAATGGTCTCAAGCGTCCACTTGTCCGCTAAATGTTTGTTGTAGCAAGTTCGGCTTCTGCGGTGGGTTCCTACTCTTCATCTTTCATCTCAACCTCACCTAATTATCTGCTACAGGAACCACCAAGGACTTCTGTGGCGATGCCACCGTCGTGTCTCCCCAATGCGGCGGCACCAGTGCCAAAAAGCGTACAGTCGGGTATTACGAGGGGTGGAACTTGGAACGCCCATGTGGAAGTGAGTTGCTTGAGACTACTCCTTCAACTCATCACTAACACAGCTTCTTACAGAAATGGGACCAGCCGATATCCCTCTCGGCTTCTACACACACATCAACTACGCATTCGCTTCGATCGACCCTCAGTCATTCCGCATCACTGCCATGGACAATCTCACTGCGTCATTGTACCAGGGCGTGACGGCACTCAAGCGCCAACAGAGTAATCTCGAGGTGTGGATTGCCATTGGGGGATGGGCATTCAATGACCCGGGTCCCACTCGAACCACTTTCTCTGATCTGGCCGCTTCCGAGGCCGCTCAGGATACGTTCTTCGGATCCCTGATTAGCTTTATGCAGAATAATCGGTTTGATGGCGTAGATATCGACTGGGAATACCCTGTGACAGATGAACGGGGCGGGAAACCCGAGGATTATGTCAATTTTGTGACTTTGGTGAAGAGACTGAGGGAACGGTTGAACCAGACAGGAAGGAAGTATGGAATTTCCATCACTCTGGTAAGATTGTCTCTCCTCCTGATAAGCATGGTGTTAACGTCCTGCAGCCGACATCCTACTGGTACCTGAGGGGATTCGATATTGTCAATCTCGAGCCGCATGTGGATTTCCTTAACGTCATGTCTTATGATATTCGTAAGTGAGATGCGATTCTGGATCAAATTAAACTTAACCTCACTGACTGATCCACAGACGGCACTTGGGACTCCACGAATAAGCAGCTTGGACCGTACGCCTTCGCACACACTAATCTAACAGAGATTAACAGCGCCCTAGAGCTTCTCTGGCGCAACAACATCAATCCGAAGAGAGTTAACCTTGGACTAGGCTTCTATGGCCGCAGCTTCACGATGAAGGATCCCGGGTGTAAGAAGCCTGGCTGTGAGTTCTCTGGAGGGGCGCGAGCAGGCGAATGTACCGGCACACCAGGAGTGCTGGCCACGTATGAGGTCAACAAGATCATTCAGAAGGGTGGTACCGACGTGACTCTCGACAAAGACGCGGCGGTTACCATCGTAACCTGGGACAAGGATCAATGGGTTTCCATTGATAACCAAGAGACCCTACGGATGAAGATGGACTATGCCAACAAGCGGTGCCTTGGGGGAACTATGGTCTGGGCAATTGATCTGGATGATGGAACTATGATCGACGCTCTAGGGGGTGCTATGGGAAAGAACAAATCAAGGATTCTCCCTGCTCGGGGAATTATTCTTCCTGAAGCTGGGAGAAGAGATGTTGATGATGTTCTGGGGTGGAAGAAGTGGTGGAAGGAGCATAGAAATGAACTGTGAAGGACGGCTAGAATCTGAGGGGTGTATGCATGTTATGGGTGGATTTTCAAGATAACTAATGGACAATTGAGACTGTTTAGCTTATGGATGTTATTATTAAATTTGAACCAGCTGTTTATTCCGCTTCATACACCAGAGAGCACAAGAACGAACTGTAAATGAAGGCTGGCTATGATGGGATCAGGCAAGTTATGCGTGGATGTCCAGACTGTTGGAGAATAATTGTGACTGTGTAGTCTAAATATGTCATTAGCAAGCTTCTGCGAGCTCAAAATAACTAATAACAAGAGATTATCTCCAATAATATCGTGAAGCTGTAGAAGTGATGGAAGGAGTACAGGAATGAACCGTGAATCTGGGTTAGAATAGTATGAAAGTTTGCATGTTCAATGTGACTTTCCAGACTTCTTAAAAGCGATTCACACTGTTTACCCTACAGATATGATTGACAAATTCGAGAAAGCTCACGTTAATCGACACTTCCAAATAGCTATCGAACTATGAGCTATATTAGAAAATATCCAGGCACGTGCATGTCTGTGAATTGCTTGTAGTGAACCAACAACCAGTTTTCCAGTATGTTGGAGAGACCGAAAGTGGTTTCACATTCTCTATTTATTATGATTGTCTTCTTCTATACCTTCCGTCTTGCCATTACGCCCCAATATCTCTCTCCTCCTCAAGTTCACCATTTCGAACCGTTCGAACACCATGCCACTTCCAAAGATGTGGGCAATTCTCCTTCCAATTCTCCTTCTTCAACTACTCAGTTCCCCCACGGTCAATGCTGGCCATCCTGAGTGGGAGCATGCTCGGTTCATGCTTCCCGAATGGTTGTCAGTCAAGCCAGTAGAGCCCTGGAGCCGCCTCTGGCCCGACAAGACCATCAAGCTGTGCTACGAAAGCGAGGCAACCTGGAGAAAATATCATAACTACTTCCGGAATGCGATGAGATTATGGTATGCGGCAGGGCTGCCTGAGGATTTCAAAGTGAGGGAGGTTGGCGCAGATGGATGCCAGAACACGCCAAATGAACAGTTGCTGGTCATCGATACCCCCGAGTTGTTTGCCACAGATGTTGGCTTTCCCACTCTGTCCTACCTGAACCCGACCAATTATCCGAGGCCTACGAAGCCTGCAATGTGGGTATCCTTGTACTACAGGGACTCAGAGTCGTACCGAATCGCTACCTTTGCTCACGAGCTCGCACACTCATTTGGGATGTATCACGAACACCAAAACCCTTATTACTGGATACCGGGGCGCCAAGTGTTCGCCTTCAACTGTGACCAATTGAAGGATTTCACAGAATTGACCCAGGGGATGTCACAGGAGCAGATCTGGGGAGACAATGGTGTCTGCACGAGCTGGAAGGCGGCCCGAGCCGTTGGGTTTCCAAGTTATGATTACCTTCCTATGCCGTTTGATGAAGTCATATCTCCCCATGGAATATGGTCAAACAGAGCCACCGTTGATTTTGACTCTATCATGCTTTACGGTTCTCACCTGGGCGGGCAGTTTGATTATTCAGTGGTCATAATGTTGGCGGACGGGACAATTTTCCAAGAGACAGAAGACCCCAGTGTTGAAGATGTAGATGGCTTGAAGCTTCTCTATGGTACTGTGTATGGAATTCCAGTAAGGACTCTGTACAACGATCCCAGGAGCCCTTACTTCTCGACATTCAGAATGTACGCCGGCTGTTCGAACTAGAAGTCACTCTTCGCCAATTGGGTGTGGTAGGAGACGGAAAGTGTGGCTTTACATGTTCTTTCACTGTTGGGGGGAAGGAATTTGGAAGTATGTAGTTTGAGTGAATGTGGGGAATGGCAAAAAGAGGTTGTAGTTAATCAATTTATTACCTGCTAGCCCCGTGATTCTGGCTTGATTTCACCCCTTCACATATCTAGTATTCACTCTTTCTCACAATTTTACCTCTGTAAAGCTGCCATAAATTCTACTGCTTTTTACTCCTCCCTCCCTCTCTTTTTCTTTCCCTCACTACTTCCCTTTTTTCTCCCCTACAGTCCCTACAGTACCTACAGATTCTCTCACTACAACACCGACCAGGAACTATCCACCATAATGGGTACTCTTCCTACATGGCTGTCTGCCCTGCTGCTACTGCTATGGACTGCAGCTGCTCAATCCCCAGCTATCGATGTCGCTGGCATTGCAGCAGATCCCACCCCTCATGGCCCAACCATGTCAGGAACCCCAGCTGATTGCAACCGATGGTTCACTATCAAAAAGGGTGATACCTGCTATGATTTGGAAAAGGCGTTTGGACTCACTCCTCAGCAATTCCAGCAGTGGAACCCTGCAGTCTCCCGTGATTGTCTGGTCAACTTCTGGCCGGGCTACGCATACTGTGTGGGCGTTGGACCAGTAGCGATTCCAACATCTGCAGACACTGCTCCTCCTGCTCCGACCATGACTGGTATCGCGGCAAATTGCAACCGTTGGTACACTGCTCAGAAAGGAGACAATTGCTACGCAGTGGAGAAAGCATTCGGGCTCACTCCGCAGCAATTCCAGCAATGGAATCCCGCCGTCTCCCATGATTGCCTGGTCAACTTTTGGCCGGGTTACGCATACTGCGTGGGAGTTGGACCGGTAGCAATTCCGACATCTGCAGACACTGCTCCTCATGCCCCAACCATGACTGGCATTGCAGCAAATTGCAACCGGTGGTACACTGCCCAAAAAGGAGATTACTGTTATGCAGTAGAGAAAGCATTCGGGCTTACTCCGCAGCAGTTTCAGCAGTGGAATCCCGCTGTCTCGTTGGACTGTCTGGTCAACTTCTGGCCCGGATATGCTTATTGCGTGGGTGTTGGGCCGGCCGCAAATGGTCCTCATGGTCCTACTATGCCAGGGATTGCCCCAAATTGCCTTCAGTTTTATACTGCCAAGAAGGGTGATACTTGCTACGCAGTCGAGAAGGCTTTTGGCATCACCCCCCAGCAATTCCAGCAGTGGAATCCGGCTGTCTCTCAGGACTGCTTGGTCAATTTCTGGGCAGATTATGCGTACTGCGTGGGCGTTGGGCCGGTTGCCCCGACTTCGACTTCGACTGTGACAGCGACAGCGACTTCGGCTTCGACGACAACGAGTTCAACCACTTTGACTACGTCCACTACTTCGACAACTGTCCTTCCTACGTCTACTATCTCAACTACTTGGACTACTGGTACGTCGACCACTTCGACAACTTTCCTTCCCACATCTACTACCGCGAGTACGTGGACTACCGGCACGTCGACCACTTCGACTAGTTTGTCCCCTACGACTGTTTTCACCACATTCACCACCACGCTCACTTTGACCACAACCTTGACTTCGAATGGTCAGACTACGGTAATAGTTACTACCACTGTGACTACAACTGTTAGCCCGTCTACAACTCTTGGTACTTCAACTACATTGACAACGGCCCTGCCCCCATCGGGCACGTCTAGTACCACTACTTCGACTTCGAGTGTTCCCACTACTTCTACCTCAAGTGCTTCGACCACGTTGACCACTTCAACCACCTTGAGCACGCCCAAACCTTCTACCACTTCCAACCCACCCACGTCAACTCCAAGTACATCCCGCACTTCAACTACGTTGACCAGTCAAAGTACTCCTGTCACTCCCACCACTCCCAGAACTTCAACCTCTACAATCCCCCGTTCGCCCTCTATCACACCTACTCCTAGCTCACGCCCACCAATTAGCCCCTTCCCCAGCACAATGGTCACGACCAACGTGACCTACTCAACCCGCAACCCCATCACCTCATACAACCAGACCATAACTCCCATTGACACCGCATGGCCTCCGACCAAGACCCATCCTGGCCAGCCCAAAGACTGTGACAAATGGTATTTAGTTGCGCCAGGAGACACCTGCAGGTCAATTTACCAGCGCCACGGCAACAGCATTACCATGGACGAGCTGTAAGTATTCCTCCTTCCCACCCGGGTCAGCCCTAACTAACATGCACAACCACAGACTGGAATGGAACCCCGACCTTAAAGCAGACTGCGACTACCCCATCGCCGGCTACTGGGTGTGCGTGGGTATCAAACGCCCCGCCCTAACCATAATCTATCCCACCACCAACGACACAGTCCCCGATCCCACTCCCTGGACGCCGCGTCCCACTCCAACGGAGACATCCGTCTACCCACCCACCAAAACCCAACCCGGTCTCGCCCCAAGCTGCTCTGCCTTTTACGAAGCTCAGCCTGTAAGTCTTATGCCCCCACACAAACATACATACACACTAATACTAACCGACAAAACACCAGTCCGACACCTGCGACCAAATCCTCGCCAGCAACCCCATGCTGAAATTCCCTCTTCTGTTGGAATGGAACCCAGCCCTGAAAGCAGACTGCTCCGGTATCCTACCAGGCTACTCCTACTGCATCGCAGCCTACAACGACACCAACCGCCCCTCCCCGCCCACCGTCACTACTCAGCCCTATCCGCTAAAGCCAGGCACAGCCAAGAACTGCACGGCCTGGTACAAGAAGGATGATGGTGATACGTGCGACTTGATCGTGGAGATGTTCGGCACGTTCGATAAGGCTCAGTTCGTGGCGTGGAATCCTGATATCGGTGTTCATTGCTATGGTTTGGAGGTGCGTTATTTTCCCTTTCCTTTCCCACTTCTTCCTTTACAATCTACAACCCCCAGGTCTATTACTTTGATACGAAGTCATGAGCTAAACACAAATGAATAGAACGGCTATTACTACTGCGTCGCCGACCCCAGCACTCCCAAGACCCGAACAAGGCCCGTAATTACTGCCATGAGCTTCCCCACGGCCCGTCCGCGTCGTCAACCGGGAGTTACTAAGGACTGTATTAAATGGTGGCTTGTGTCGATGTGAGTTAACCCTTCTCTCCATTTTACCCTCATTGCCCCACTCCCCAATCAGCACTATGACTAACTAATATAATTTGTATAAACAGTCACGACGACTGCTACGACATCATGCACTTCAACGGCATCACTATGGCAGATCTGTATACATGGAATCCGGCTCTCTCGGGGAAGAGAAACTGTCTCGAGGGGTTGGTTCCTGATACGGAGGTTTGTGTGGGAGTTTCGTCGTCGTCGTCTACTACTGATACTGCTGCTCCGTCGAGTACAGCTCCTGGTGCTTCTTTTAGCACTGGGTTGGTTACAGTTATTGGGGGAAGAGATTAATGGTAGTCGTTCTTGGGTATGAACAGTATTCATGTGGAGGATGGATAATTTGTTGATACATTGGTAATATGTCGCTATGAGATAATACAATTTTGTATTTTCGTCTCTATTGGTCATTCAGTCATGTGGTGATATGTAGTTACTGCTCAGCAGCATAGTAGATCTGAATTTAGGTGTACATCCATGTCATCTTCCTCATCACTCATAGCAGTAGCCTGTGCAGTATGGCGTCTATCTATATTCAGATCCATGAATCAAGAACAATCACCAATACGTCGTCACAATCTCTCTCCCTGGCCGGCCGTGCAGCAGATCCTCCCGAGTGTGCACCACAGTCCGCGCCTGCCGATCATGAACCAGGAAGAACTGTAGCCAAGTAACTCGATGTTTCTCACATATCCACTTCCCACGAGCGCAAGCATTTTCAGGGCTAGTTAAACATTCCTCTTCAATCTCCATTACTCGTTCCGCAATCTTCAGGGCTGCCATGCCTTCGCAGATGCCTTCGCGCCTTGGGTACTGTCTGAGAAGACGGATCGCCTGCCGCCTGATCGTGGGTTCTCGACAGCGGAGTGCAATTAAGAATAATGGCTCCGTCGTTATTGTCTCCAGATGGAAGCTCATGTTTTGTGATTGGTCTATATTTGCAGGCTGGCTGTCTAATGGATCCATGGGGTCTCCTAGAATGTCGCCCATCAGTTCGAGCATGTATGCATAGTCCTCGACGAAGTCGTCGTGGGCTAGTTCGCCTTTAGTCAGGTCCATAGAGAGTGCCAGTTGTGCAAGTCTGCGTCGGACATAGAGAACTTTCAGAGGCCTCTCATCTTCTAGCTGCGGTATTATTCCAAGATACTTATCAAGCCTGGTATCCCATTCAGTAAGACCAAGAAGACACTGTTTTTTCTTGATCTGCATCACAGCATCTGGAACATCAATATATATTGAATTGTTGGTAAATATTTGCATCATCCTGTTAAAATGCACCTCCAAATCAACACACGCCTCTAGCAGAGACTTGAAGGGGGTGGTAGACGACGACAAAATGATCTGCTTGTCCGTCCATTGAAGGTTATTCGAAAGACTAGGAAGATAGGGGCGCGCTTGTGAGTCGAGTTGGGTAAACAAGACCAGCAACACATCCAGATCTGAATTCTCATCTCTCTTTTCTTCACCTCTGTCCGCCAATTTCCACTGGTGAATTAGCTTCAGTCCGCCGTTTATGTGCACGAAAGCCTGCCACAGACGGCCCTGCAGACTTGACATGGTAATGAATAAGATGCAAACACTCAGGATGACCAGTCTGTCGAACTTAGTTAAAGCCTGTCCTGACAGCAGTTCTTGCAGACTTTGGATGGATTTGTTCCACTGTTGCAACGCAAGCCTCACCTTGGGGCTATCCTGCATTCTTGACATGGTAATCGGCGTAGTGTTGACCATGAAGTCTCGATGAATGCAGGCCACCGCTGTCATGGCATGCCACAGGGCCGGGTACTGGTGCGACATTTGAAGCAATCCGCAAGCCCAGCGGCCCTGGTCGAAGAAGCCAGCCAGATTGGGGGTAGTGACTGAGTGAAAGAACCGAAAACACTCAGTTTCTACGCGGTTACTTGATACTACCTCCCAATAAGAAGGCATCTGTATCACGCCGAGGACCGTAGTGGGCGGCTCTTGGGCGACTGAATTGTAGCCATCGCACTTTCTTCCGGTAGAAGAGCATCGCTGGCAACTGCAGAGTCACAACCGTCAGCGAGCTCTGACTATAATAGTTTGTAATATAATCGGCCAGAGAAGCCTACTGACACGGGTTTTGTCTCGTCACATTTCACTCTCCGGATCCTGCTTGTGTCAACAACTCATGTTCCAGCAGCAGAAATGTAAGTCTTACCGACAAGTCATACAACCCGTCTTCACTTTCGGAGCCCAGTGCCTTATGCGAGCCTTTCCTGACCGGTTCAGACGCGAATTACTCTCTTCGAGTCCACCAATCAGGGACTTAGTAAGGTGTGTATTGTTCTTCAGGCATTGAGGATTCCACATCTCGACATAGTCAGGATGGAGGAATCAGAGACTTATATTCAGCAGCAGAGCAAATTGCTTAGTGCATCAGACACCACAACAGGTGCCAGAAGTTTCGAAAGGCATATAGAATTAGAATGTCTAGGCTACGTGTGCGCATGTCGCTGAGTGAGCAAGGATGGGACTATCTAGACCGAAGGATCCCCGCTAACCGGATGTGGTAAAGTGTTTACTACTGCTGGATTGGGAAATCGCAGCCCTCGAAGATGCAGTTTAGGTGCGCCTCTCTATTCGTTTAGAGGGGGTACCACGTTCAAATGAGTAACATACACTTAAAACTTTTTCTAATTCATGTTTAGTAGGTATGTTGAATGTATGTAAGCCTGCACTCACGAGAAGCCTAAAGGGACAACCCCATACTGTATCTTCTGAGAACCGATTCGAAACAGCAATAAGCATAGAGATGATGAAAATACCAACAGTCCTCGAATGACCCTACTAGGGCCCATTCTCAAATAGGAAGGATCTCCTGGCCCCCGCTGATGTAATCTAGGATGCGGGGACGTTCTCCATAGTAGTAAACAACTTACTATATCACTTCTCTCAGCCTTGCCGAAGCGCCTATACTCTTCCTCCTTTCTCAGAACAATCATTATGAGTCCGTCAAGGTCCGTTTCTTTTCCTATTTGCACCCTGCCAGCTGAGCTGCTGCTACTTATAGGCGCCTGCCTAGACTGCTCAGCCTTGTGTTCTTTCCGTCTCACCTGCAAAACCGTTTACGACTGCACCTTTCCTCTATTTCGCAAATACCTCGAAAACTTAAAAACAGACCTGTCTCTTACATCACTTCAAAAACTTGACTCGTTATCGCGGAATCAAGAACTGTGTTCCCTCGTCCAAACATTAAGTATCGATGGCACAGAGGAGGATATCATAGGATCGGGACTTACGTGGGAACATCACCGCTCTGGACTCCTTGTTATTCCACAAGAATCTATTCAACGGTGGCAAGAAGTATTGCTGCGCCTAGTAAATTGCCGATCTTTTCGTCTGCACAAATGGAATACGCCTGATGGCCCTGACCCGTTCGATAAAACAACCCCTAATGATACCATCACAATCCTGCTCAGCATTTTCATTGCAATAGAGCGTCCGATACGAGAGCTTCATATCTTGTTCAAACGGCCAAATATCATTTCGCTCGACCAGCTCGATTTGTCCCGCGTTCACAACGGCCTCCTCCACGACCCAAAGTTCATCACTACATGCTGTTCTACTCTGGAAGCCCTCACGTTCAAGTTCAAAGTGGAAGAAGAAGAAGAGGCTAACTTTGTGGTACATTTCATACACCATGCGAAGAGTTGCCTAAAACGACTGACAATTAATTTTTCTTATGGCGAAAGCGCGGCGCCTCTTATGTTTCAAGTATCATTGATGATACGGCCTCCCCTGAGACTACAAGAACTGCATCTGGTGTGTGGCAACGTAGACTCAGACCAGGATTTGATCAGGTTTTTATTCTCTTCCAAGCGGACCTTGGTCAAAATACACCTCGGCTCTTTCACAATTCGTTCTGGGGCGTGGGCAGCCATTTTCAGGACTCTTTCCGAATTCTCATCACTCACCGAAATCTCCGTGAGTTATCTGATGGGACATAAGATGCAGAGGGAATATGGAATCATACGTTTTCCTGCGTTGTTGCGGGACCCTATCGTTGATCCTGTGCTGGGTACAAAGTGCTCTTATACTGTTAGAGGGCGCCCAGAAAATCCGATAGTGGTTGGGGTTCAGTATTCCGGACGAAGTATGGATATTGCACTACAGAAGTTGGCTGAATATGCAACATTTTTGCAGGGTCGGGACAGCAACTAATCCAGTCCCCACAGCTGCTACTCTGGAATTGCTACGCCTGGACGCCACATCCTCCTTCTATGTTTCTTATTTATGCCCAAAATGACACAATCAACAGAGATAGTAATTAGGTAGATACCTAGGCTTCATTTTCTTCTCATCTTACTGCTGTATTTCAATCCCAATCCCTGCTCAAAACTACGATAATTGGGATGAATTGTAGTACCTGTCTAACTCAGCTATACTAGCAAATCCTAATACCAAGGCGATCTCTTGTCTACCCCGTACTTCATGAATATATATTTATCCCATAGACTATTACAGATGCATATTAACTCACTCCATAACCACCTACTCGTATTCCTAATACTCCCATAACATAAATACTACCCACCTCCTATCCTACCGAACTAAGCACCCCAAAATCTCACTTCCTGCCCAACCGCGACAACCCATCCATAGTACCCATCTCCCTAATCATGCGTACCCACCAAATCCAGCCCCATACCTTTCAATCCCCACCCACTCCACCCCAGCTGAACACAACACAAAAGTACATGTAAATTGGTACTCAGCCTTAAAGTTTCCCACTACTGCGACTATTCCCTGATTCCCGGGTCCGATCCTTGCGAATATATGATGAGTATTAATTCTTGACGTTTCCATGATGATGTACTAGTACTGGCTGAAGAAGTACCTTGCATGAATAACTACGTAGTTGTTACTATTTTGTAGTTAGATGATGATCTCATGCTGCATATGTATGTATGTATGTTGCCTTGCTTGCTTGCTTGCTGGCTGGGTGCGTCTGCAGGATCTAATCTTGCGTACTTTTTTTCCTTCTATTAGTTCTCTAATCCTTGTCGTTATGTTTGATCTCTAGTTTTGGTGGGATGGTTGGGCTGTGAACCAGACTAGATTAGAGAGCTAATAAAGTACTAATACTAGGTTCATTATAACTACTAAGTTGGGTATCTTGAAGACTAAACTAATACAAAGGAAATCAAACAAATGAAAAAAGGGGACACTATTGTACAAGGAATTGAATCCCATCCGCCTGAACTGTTGAGGTGATCCCGGGCTCTCAATGAAACAGTAGAACAATCGAGAACATCAGCCCCGGTCAATTGCCTGTTTGTCCATCGTCGTCGGGCATCAATTCATCACTCCTCGGGTTTTGACCGAAGATGGTAAGAAGGATGAATCTCTGGTCGCAGGATCCGGTCCGGTTCAGCCGCACTTAAGCCATCACATAGCGTAACACACAGCCACCAACGACCTTTATCCCAACCAAGTAAAGCAGTTCACACCCCCCGTCCAGGTCTATGTCCTGAAACCTCATTGCGCCCGACCTGATCTTTGCCCCCCCTAAATGCGAAACAAAGATGTGGAGTGTTCATAACCCTTCAAACGCCATCTAGGCAGCAAGTAGTGCCCTGTTGGTTTTTCAGCATTTTTTTGAATTTTGTTTTTTCGCCCAGCTCTTTTCCCCATTAGCTGTCATACTCAGAATCTTTCCTGCCAATAGGGCGGAATCCTGGCCCGGGATATGATCTTGACACGAGGGACGAGCATGAAGTGGGGGCGGTGCCTGAACACGCCCGACGTATCCAAAACTGTGGATAAGACTTTGGGGGTTACCGACGGCCTGGTCAAGAAAGCGAAAGAGGAAATAGAAGACCAAGGAAAAGTCGTGAGCCACGAGTCGTGACGAGGCTTACTCGGACGCCGCGATCTATCAATCGATAGTCCGCGCTGGGCGTCGGGTTGGCTTTGCTCCCATCCACTAGACTAAACTAGTCCCTGCGTTAGGGGCCCTAAGCCCGCCACCATCACAAAAGTACGATCCAGCCGAGTCTGCGCTAGGCGTCCAGCATCCAACCCGGTTATGCGCACCCCCAGGTTAGGATTCCAATGCCCGTCATCGCGAAGCGGTTTAAGAGCGAAAGACGTCCGGTCGGCCTTCGACAATATCCAGACATTGGCCCATGACTATCAAGCGCGTTAGAACCCGTCCACGGTGTGATGGGAAGAAATGTTTCTAGAGAGTCACTCACTGGAAAGAATCTCCTCCTCCCAAATCCCCATTTGGTAATCAACTAGCCCATGGGGCTCCATACGATCGCAGAGCTGGATCAGCTCCTTACCCATATTGTCCATCGCGTCGCCACTAAGAAGACTAGTTTGGGGCGGCTGACGACCGGTTTGCAGCAGTTCCTGAGCCAAATCTTTCTGCTTCTGGCATACCGCTAGCCAACAAATATTGAAATCATTCCAAAGTTGTAGTCGATCCGCATGTAGCATTTGATCATCCCGAAGGATACCTATTGATAGACTCGAATTAGCCTCAGGGTTCACAATATAGTCGCTCAAACCCCGGTCTCGCTGTGTGCGTCAAGCAGAGTGCGAATCAAGAACCATGCTTTTTTAGGTGCATGCAGGTAGTGTCCGGGCCAGGAGCTAAAGAGGGGGGAGGGTGGGTAAGAAACCCATTGGCGTGGGAAATGGTGAAAACGCTAAGGGGACATACCGAGCTCCCGCGCATTAGTCACAAGCCACTCGGAGATTTCCAAGAGTGATCTACTAGCTTCTACCAATCGGCCGGCGCGCGTACTATCGAATGTCTCTCGTAATGCTCGTTGGAATTGAGCATACGCTTCCTTCAGGCCAGTCGACTCGGACCCCACCCGGGACGGTGTTTGTAGGTGTTGTTGTTGTTGCTGCTGTTGTTCCTGCGACGGCGACGGAGGCTGCTCCAAACGTCCAGACGCTCCCACTGGAGTCAGTTCAGCCATAGCTGCGGGAAAGACGTGCGGAGCGCTCGAGCGTCCAATGGCGCTGGCTTGGTTATAAGCGGACAAAGGGAGCTGCGATGACAGGTAGGGCGGACCCATGGCCGGAACCCCTGTGGCCGTCGGTTCATTTGCTGGGAAATATTGTGGAACACCAAACTGACTAGACAGTGCTTCCATCGCTGCAGATTGCCGTGCCGGGTATGGTGGGACGAGCTCGTACGGGGCTTGTCCCGGGTCCTGCTGGCTGAGGTTGTATACCATCTCGGAGTCATAAGAAGCTAACGGCTGGTGTACCGGCTGATGCTGGCGCTGTTGGTCGCGCAACGTCGGTGTGTATGATTGCAACTCATCCCCCTGCAGCGAACCGCCCTGAAA